AAAAGAGTGACAATTTTTTAACACATTTCTTTTTCTTTGTTAAAATTTTGGGGTTTGGTTTCAAGTCACACCGACAGGGTAAAGGTCTTATCTAAAGTTCCTGGTGGGATTCCAACACATATCGATGTGTGGAAAATTGGTTAAATTCAACTAACCACTTCAACCCAAGCGCCCAAATAAGAAAATAACAAAGATTAAAAGAAGAATAATTAAAAGAATAATTAAAACACACCAAGTTGGATTATTAAGAATTGAAGACATTTGGCTGTAGACTTAAGTGGTTTAATTTCCTTGCAATATCTAAACATAGAGCAAGCTGCAGGTATAAATAATCAACATTATTAATATGTATCGTATTCCTGTCAAATAATATAAAACCGGTGTTATAAATCAAAATTAAATAACGTCATGAAGACAGGTGGTGATTTGGTATCTTTGTTATGTTTAGCTGTTGTAACATACAGTGTTACACAGTTCATCCTATTTCTGTATATAATATGTCTACAACGTATAAATAATCTGTTCAGAAACGACATCTAATTAACGTTATAAGACATTGAGGTTATTTAAAGTTGATAATAAACAACACTATAAAACATTTTATGCATTGAATGTCAACGGTTATACCAGAGGTGTCATGAGAAGCATATTATACAGCTATGACTTTGTCTGGCATAGATTATGAGAAAAACAACCTATGTGCTTGACACAGTCATTTTATTAAAGAAATCAGCTTTGGAGTTAATATTTCGGGTTAAATATTTTAATGTTACTCGATGGCATACCCGAGATAAATGTGATAATGAACATCTTAAATTTGTCACATATACTCGAGCCGTTTTTCAAAATGGTAAAACGGTTACAGCCGACCATGTATTTTGGCATGCCATCTTTTGCGTGTGTTGACCACACTAATAGCGTTATAGTAAATGTATAAGCGTTTCAGTGAAGAAATGATTTTTTGAAATTGTACTTATTTTGGGCATATGGTTGAAAGCATATAATGCGGTATAGCTTCATAATTGACTTATGTTGATAAAATTATTATTAAATTTCAAGAGAAGTTCACAGAGAGAGGCGTGAAATGCGAATACTCTATTTTAAAAGTACTAACACAGACAAAAACAAAGTGGTATTTTGTCTTACATACAAATAATAAATCGCTTAATCCGTATAATTGCCGAAAAGCAGAAGCCGCAAGTGATGGTTTTGGCCACAAAGTTACTGTTACAGTACACACAAAATAAAGCTTTAAAGCAGCACGCCTCCAGATTCACGCTAATTTTCATGAAAATTTTGAAAAAAGGATTTAAATGTTTAATAGTGTGAAATAACCAGAAGGAAGCAATTCACACATTATTATAAATGGCACTTACAACGCACGTGAATTACCAAAAAGTGGTCAAAATATGCATAAATAGCCCTTACTGCGCTAGTAACGCAGTAGAAATATTGTTGTAATTACTGTAAAATCAGTGATTAACCGCATATAACATTTAAAATATTAATTGAATCTTGAATCATTTTACTTTTCCTAAAATCATAGTACATATTTCTCAAGTTTATTTTATCAAAATATTTTGACTCATCTGGAGGAATGCAGCTTTAATTTGAGAAATACATTTCTTTTGTAATGAAAGCTGAGTGGGGCTTTTTTCATAACACTTCCAGATACCTTGATGACATTTTTAATTTAGATAATTCTTAATTTGATCAAATAGTGTCTAAAATTTATCCTAATGAGCTACAACTTAATAAAACAAATTCTTGAAATTTAACTACATCATTTTTGGATCTTCATATCACTATCTAAAATAATTCTATTCACACGAAAATCTATGATAAAAGAGATGACTTTGATTTTAGTATAGTAAAATATCCTCATTTGGATGGAGACGTACCGCATGCAACATCTTACGGGGTTTATATATCTCAGTTAATAAGATTCGCTAGGGCTTGTAGCAACGTAAAGGATTTTAAGGAGCGAAATATTTTCATTACCGGGCTACCGCTAATATAAATTACGTAAATATTTTACAAAATTTTACAATCGTAACTTTGATTTAATTTCAAAATTCAATAGTGATCTAAAAACTCTTCTGCGGCAAGGGATTAGCCAGCCTGATTTTTACGGGGATGTTGTTTACAAACTTTGTAAGATCTTGGGTCATTGTAATTTTTCTGTTGTGTTTACTAAATTAATTAAACGTTTTATTAAAAGGGGTTATGACCCTACTATTTTAAGACATACCGCATGCTTAGTGTTCAACCCATTTACAGTTGGACGCTACGCTTTCCTCTTTTGATTACATCTGACGGACCAAGTAGGAGACTCTATGATGGACAGTTCTTAAAGCCCTTTGGGACTGAATTGCCTTAATGTTTGTCTTCTGTCTTGCTTCGTCGGGCCCTTGTAGGTGATTTTCTTGTTGCTCTGTCTTCCTTTAAGACATCGAGTACTTTTGTTATGGTCATTGGGTTTACTTTTATATGTTTCTACATGATCATTTTAGTGTTTTACTTATTTAACCTTTTGTAACCATAACAACTGTTAGAATTTCACTTGGCGGGGATTCATTTTATTTACACTGTCTTGTTTATAGGAACATGGTGGGGCTAAGAGCGAGGTTTGGTGCACCATTAACCGGGTTAAACTCCCCAGTAGTCATTATTTTGCTGCTGACCGTTCCAAGGCGGCGCCCCTCTGTGTTCCTCAGATGTATGTCTATGTTGTTTCATACTGTTTTGGTGACACTTTTGCTTGTGTCCCTTGTTGTTTTCTCGTCTACGGTAAGTATCTTCCCCTTTACCCCTAGTTTTTATTTCTTTGATTAACCTCCTCCCCCCTTCCCTCGGTCTCCTGCCCCTGTGCCCTTTGACTTTGTGGGCCTATTATTCAATCATTTATTTGTTTTCTTTGATTTCCTTATCAGCTACAAATTATTTATCTTTTAGTGATTAACCTGTCCGTGCTATGTCTTGTGCCCTGTCCTGTTTTTGTTTGGGGTCCTCCTGGGCTCCTTGCCACTGACTTTTGTTGCTGGGTCGGGTGGGGGCTGTGTTCATTGAACGCCGCCTTTCCTTGATGATCTTGTTTATCATATTTTAAAATATAATTATTATAAAACGATGGAAGAGAAATGAATAGAATCGGTTACTTGTGCAAAAGGAGTTCTTATAGATCTACATATATCTCTAAGTATAATTACTTTTTAACTTGATTAGTCCCTCGTACATCTTTAAGTGAGCCAAAATATTTCAAGAAACTTTTAGCCAAGAATAACTAAGTTTGTTAGAAAAGAAAAAAACCCATAAAAATTCAAGCAATGACTAACATATTGCGTGTGATTATTGACAGATTCTGCAGTATTTATCACCACATTTCTACTACGGTACTAACATAGTAAGATCTATTTTAGAATATTTTGACTTCTTCAAGCAAATTTATGAAGATTTTTAAGTTCCGTCATCAATATATTAAATTAATTTCTTTGTTCACTTCGCAATATTTAATGATAATTTATTAACATTTTCGTAAAATAGCCCGAATATAGAGACATGCTGTTTTTAGCACATTTGTTGCGAAACCAAAGCGGAATGCTTCCTTGTGCAACGTGGAAATAAATATAAACCATGACATAGAGTTACGTTATACATCCTTTTTGTAAATAAATTAAATAATAAATTACAAACACAGACAGGATGCGAATATTCTACTTATCAGAAAACATGTTGTAAGTGCAGTTTATGTTCTACATTTCCCGTTGATGCACGCTATGGTATTCGACACATAACAATTATTCTAACACGAACTTGTCACCAATTCGTTATCAACAATAAACCACATGCATTTGTAAAAACCAAATGAAGATTTCCTGTTAAAGTTAATTTACAACTTGATCCACATTTTTTTATAAAGATAACGCATAAATACTTAGATGAATACTTTTATTTCCTCCAATATTTTAAGAGTTGAACAAACAAAAACAGCAAGAATCTACGGTGTTTCAATATAGGCCTGCCAACTAAATCCAAAAATAGGCTTAACCCGGACAAATTATAGAATTTGGTGTACATGTTCTTGTTCTGTTTAATTTATGATAGTAACTATAGCAAGAGAAAATCGATGAGCGAACTGTCATATTGCTTAGCATTCTTTCTATAAGACAACTTTGATATGATATAAGTTGTCCGAGTGCCTTTCCTCTAAACATTACAAAATAACCTGATTTAGATTAATCTACATATTGCCGATACAAATGAATCGCATTGTTATACTTAAAAACGGAGAAATACTGTACTTTTTACTTATTTTTGAAAATCTTTTAGAAAGACCAAGGAAGAAAAGCAACTTTCACAAAATACACTTTCCGTCTACGCCGCCAACAACGTTTAAACCTAGAATAACATTCACATTTCACTTAACAATGTCATTGAAAAAGCGTTACAGAGCATGACTAAGCAATTGTTGTCTAATAACTGGAGCACAAAAAAACAACTGATAAACAACAGATATAACTAGTACTTACGTTTAATATTCAATAGGTAGGAAAGCTAACACGTATTTTTAAGAACGCATATCCGGCTTGAAACTGATGAATAGTTTGCAAGCTTCCGTATTTTAAAATAGTTTTAAATATGACTAAACAATGTTGGAAAAATAGTCACTATTTTCATCAGCACATTTCTACTTCCCCCATGATGAAATAAGTAACGGATTCTGGGCTGTTTCATCATAACTATATAAACATTATAATTTAAAAGGCATTTTCTCTGGAAAATAAATGCCCGAGTTTATCTCAAAACGTTTAAGGGTGTAATAACAGATTTTTCTTATTTCAACTACGCTTGAATATTTCTATGGACTGGTATTAATCCATGGTAGATATATGGTAATTGAAGGTATATAATAATAATAATAATAATAATAATAATAATAATAATAATAATAATAATAATAATAATAATAATAATTAAATAATAATAATAATAATGATCATATCAGTTATTTACAAACCCATGCAAAATCGCTTTAACAACAGCAATACAGAGAAACGCATGCACGCACACACAGCACATATTTGCAATCACCAACAGATATGTATAATAATACAATGCATTCAATTGTATCATAGGAAACTAAAAGCTTCTAATTTGGAATAGGTTAACAATTGGTATACATATATTGACGACTTCATTTCATGTTGAAAAGTCTATTAAATGTTTCATTCATTTAAGACTTGAAGGAAATTGTCCCAAAACAGTAGTTCACCATTTGCCTCTTGTGTGTACTCTATGTATGTGTTGGTTCTCATCCAGTCCAACATTTCATCCGACATATTTCTTGTTGGAACGTCTTCCAATATAACAATGATAAGACAACTATTACCCCCACGAGAGTAAATGCTTTCCATTCTTGCCATATTGAACTCAAACAAACACCAATTGCTTTTTAGAAACTGCTGAGATATAACAGCGACGGTCTTCCTGCTATTCCCAATGGCTTGTAGAATATTGTCAGCAATATTGTTACCTGGTAAAAAGTCTTTATCATGTAAACACAATTTTAAACCTTGTCCTTCTAGTTTTGGTATCATAACGTCAAGAATTAAACGTACATCTTCGTTTGCATATGAAATAAAAGCATCATACATAAACCTTTCTGGTTCGTTAAAGTATTGATGTAGTCTGATATAACCAAAATGCTTGATCTTAGTCATGCGCATAAGATATCGTAAGTTCCATCTATTTCTGTATACAACACCACCAATAACAACTGACAGGAATATGGATATACCTATAGAGCAAGCTACAATAATCATACTGTAAGAACCACAATCCATATAAAGTTTAATTACATCTTTCACAAATCGTTCCGCATCCACGCGCTGACCAGACATGTTGTAGAAAGTGTAATGATCGAAATTTAGCATGTTCATTCTATGTTTCACCATCCATTCCAAAAACTCCTTTTCATTACAACTAACTGACAAGGTGTTGTTACTGAGGTCAATTGTGAAGCTCTTGTTGAGACGTTTTGAATTTAATTCCAGCTTCTCCCTAAGATAAGACGGGACCGAGTGGATAAAGTTAAATTTTAAGTTCAAATGTATCAAATTATTCAACGAACCAACGTCAATTGCTAAAGACTCAATATTGTTCACACTGAGGTCTAATGTGGTCAGATGTACCATGTTTGAAAATGCAGCTGGATGTAGATAGGAAATAATGTTTGACGATAAGTTCAAAACTTTCACTTTCGATAACTTTTCAAATATACCTGGTCCGTAATATTTATCTGAGAGAATTAACCCTAGAAAGTTCTCTTGAATCTGAAGATTTTCAACATTTCGAAAGCTATCAAAGAATTTTAGTCCAATGTGTGTACAATAATTGCGAGATAAGTTAAGATATTTAACATTTGGAAATGGGCCAAATGGCCCAATCCAGGAGTAAAAAATGTTACCCGAGCCATCGAGGTATTCCATTTTATAGGGAGTTGGGTTTACTAACACACTAGTTACATTGTACTGCATGCCACAATTTGAAAATTCAAGTCTTTTCATTTCCGGTGGAGATGTGGGCAAAGTCTTGTTCATGTTTATATTATTGTCCTTGAAATATGGACATACTCTTTTCTTTTTACTTATGTTAATCAATACGTCTGGTGCAGTATATGGACAATTCAAGTTGGTAGACACAAATTCGGACTCATCTATTTTAGGCTCTTCCATATACAAGTAAGGATCACGAGCATGATTTTGGAAATTCCCATAGCATTCTTCTAAATGTGCAAAACACCCTAGTTGAAATAAATATTGCCCAAAAGTAAACGTGTTGCCTTCTACACGTAAGATTTTCAAAGTGCTTGGCGTCAAAATTAAAGCATTTCTCTCTACTAATTGAATTCTATTATCATTTAAAACAATCTCAGTTAAGTTCGTATTCCAAAGATAACACACATCTTGTAACTTTAACTGAGTTCCAAGTCCAAATGTTGGATAAAGTTTAGAAAAATTCAATGATTTAATTTTTGTGAATTGTAAACTGTATGTAATGTTCATTGCTTTACGAAATCCAAGATTCATGTTGTGAGACAGATCTAAAACTTCTAAATTCTTGAGTTTTTCAAACACTCCAGCTGTTACATTTTCTATATCACAAGACGACAAATTCAATGTCCTTATATGAGTTAGGTGTTTAAATGTGTCATTTGAAACGTAAGGCATATTACAATTTCCATCCAACCCAGACAATGATACGCTACGTAATGATTGCATTTCACTGTAAGATACAGGGAAATTTGTGTCTTTCAGTCCGTCGAAAATGAGCTGTTCAATATTAGTCAGATTCGAAAGGTTCGGATACATAACACCGGCAGAGTCCGAAACATTCAGATTTCCGTTAAGCACAAGCTTTATTAAAGACTGCGGAAGTTTAAATGCTAGTGTCCCTCTTTTATTATAAACATCAAGCTGGTTATAGCTCATATCAAGCGTTTTTAGATTATCAAACTTTATCAAAGAAACGTCTTCGACATAGCTTATTTCGTTTCCTCTTAGATACAGACTTTTCAATGACTTACAGCCTTTTATGTCTTCCGTCCGAATATATTTGTATCCATTTTGTTCCAGGTGCAAAATATTAATCTTGACACCTTTACTGTCATCAATATAGTCACATACGTTCCGTAATGGTAACTCATTAGTTTTGGAACAATCCATAACATTTATATGTTCACAATGACATAATCCGTCAGGTCCACATGGAAGAGATGTTGAATCAACGATACTGATAATCCACGCGAGCAACAATACAAAGTTCATATTGTCAGCTTAGAAATTAAAGGATCAAACTTTTGAAAAGTTGCAATGTCTTATTATATCTGCCTTTGTATAAATGTCGCTCAACATGCGATCAATAAAGGAAGCAAGTGTACATACTTGTATTTTGTTTGAGTATTTACCGAGTTCATAAACCAGTCAAGATTTGTTTCGCTTATGATGTAAAAGGAAGTTAAAGCAAGCTCTATTTGTGGTAGGCTTAACAGGTTTTTTTTCTTCAAGATTCCCCATTGATACAATTCAATAGATAACCAAAGTCTTTAACGTTTATGTACACAGACTTACATTCAACTCGTTATCACTTTAATATGTATATTAATATCATGTTTGTGTAACTTTATGGTTTAACTATGAAACTATGTATAACTATGAAACTATGATTATATAATTTCATTATCTAAAATATTTATTTTAGAACACAGTAATAATAAAATTTGAGTGTGGTTGTGTGACAATTAAAGTATTTCCCATAGAAGTCTGCACAAATTATCATGACCTTTCAAAAGTTTGTTTTAAAATACAATGCACATTTAGATAGATGAAAAATTCAATATTCAATTATTTTTTTTGACAACGAGTTGGAGATATGGAAGTTACTAATTTAGATGCAAGAACTCTGTCAAGAAGAGTAAAAAATATATATTCTTTTAATTTAAAAGAAGGAGCATTTATAACACATTTGAATGAAATTTAACTTTAGAATGAGGAGAGTAAAATGAAGTATATTCAGGTCAGAGATTAGAAAAGGAGAAGCCTTAGATATTCAACAAATTATCAATTTCAAAAGTGTTCTTTTTTCGTTTTATGCTCAATTTCGATATCTTTATCAGTATAGATGTAATAAAACTAATAAATAGCCCCTCCTCTATACTGAAGGATGGTGACAACACGTGCTTTTTGAATATTTTCACATCGAAAGTTTGAAAAAAATCAATCAACTCACACACATTCATTTTAACATTTCTTTTACCGTCAATTAGACAAACATTTCTTAAATTGTATAGTAGTAGCAAAATGATTGTATGATAAAAATGGTTCTCCAAAAATTGAAAGTAACACTTCTGATTACTTGTAAATAGAAAGTAGATATAACGACACCTCATGGTTCCTGAAAAGATTTGCTTTTATTTCTAACATTGTTTTCGTACGTACCTTATTTGTCTTCTGAAGTCATTTAAATTTCATCTTTTTTTCAACAACTGACTAAAAAATTAAATGCTTGCCTTCTGCAGCCAATAAAGCGGCGTAGAATGTTTCATATCCGAAATTACACATTGCACCAAAGAAAGTTTCGTTAACTACATACAAAATTGTAAGGCTTGATTTTAACGTTTCACAAATGCAGTGCTTTAGGCAATTCAATTTCTGTCAATAACACGATTCAATAAATTAACTATATAAACCAAATAGAGTTTAATAACCTAATAACTTGACATACTTATACATGTAATTGATACCACATTTGGGGCGTCTGTGGCTGAGAGGTTGAGGTTCAAATCTCGCCGGGGACTTTGAATACTTTCATGTAAGGAAGTTATCCAGCTAGCTTATGGAACGTCTCAGTTCTACTCTTGTGGTCTTTCCCCACTGCATCAGCTGAAAGTCGCTATATGAGCTCTACTGTACAGGTCCGACGAAACCCTGCCTGCTCAAATGGACCTCGTTCTTGTTATGTACGTTCTTGAGCTTTATGAGCCTTATAGTTTATGATATAATTCAAGTGATCTCACTGCAATCGTTTCTGTTCAGTTTAAACTTAACAACATACTCGTATACATATACATGTTCTGTAACACTGATTTACAATGTATTTCATGAACCCTATGAATATATAAGGTATCAATAAAGCCATATTTGAAAGTTGAACTTACTTCTTGCGTGTGTATAACAACAAGAAAACAACGAGAACAACCATCAAAACAACAACAACAACAACAACAACAAAAAGCCACCGAACAAAAGAAGAATAAAAGAATAAAACGCGAGAATAAGAAACACGGCAATGAAGTATGAAAGGCACATTAAGAGTGACATGCTTATCAAATGGATGGGGAGTTGTGGTTGCTGTGACGATCATGGTGGTCAATACGATGATGATATTGGAATGATACTAATAATAAAGCTAATGATCAACTTCAATTATCTGCTTTATACTTCTATGTATCACAGAATTCCCATTCTTAAATGACATGTCTACCATTCAGATATTATAAACTCTGACTTTCTATTAACGTTATACGACAGATCAGACGAATCAAGATTTAAAATCAATGATGCAAAGTTCAGAATTAATGAGTTTTGTGTAACTAGTTAAATAAAAGACATCAGCATGTGCATCTTAAGCACCTACGTCTGCCTTGAAAAGATAATGGAACATTTTTGGGATAAACAATAACCATTGTGTACTTGTAAAATGAAAATGTAATGTTCAAAATGTGTTCATATCATCTATGCTTTACCAAAATTAACACGTCGTACATAAAAGGAAAATAATAAATAAAGAAAAGTAATAACCTTAAAAAATAATCTGAAAATAATAAATCAACCATGCAAGATCCGGGAATGGAACCCGGGTTGACTGATTCACAGTTTAACGATCTGGTCTCATCGGACGATTTGACCTGCCATTTGTATCCCAATCCTGCTTTTATCAGATGCCATTTTGGGCACATTTACGTTGGTCCAACGTGACTGGATTTTGTCGGATATTGTATTTTGTTGACGTCGTTCTGTCTTTTCGATCTTTGTTTTCCTTTTCTTGTCTTTTACAACCATAATACACGTTTGTATTTCTTAAAATTGCATGTTTCACTGTTTATTACTGAAAAACATCATGGAAAAATATAGCTGAACTGAAGTTTTGAGAGGAAGAATCGCATATAAATCAGAAATGAAAAGAAATTAACGGATACTTCACTTTAAAAAAAAAACAAAAAAAAAAAACAAACAAACAACAACAGCAAAAAACAAACAAACAAACAACAACATTGCAACGCATGGATAATGGCACATTATGAACAGTATCTGCTGGTGCTACTCAACGGAAAAGTAGATTATTTCAAAACCATAAGAAATTTGTAGATTGTTTCAAAACCATGAGAAATTTGTTCATTACAGTTCATATTTACTTTCATTTGAAAAGTGTCAAGCTTTAACTTTCAAATGAAAAACAAGATCAACATGGAAAAGCGGCGTTCAATGAACGCAAACCCCACACGACCCAATAACACTGGACCACCGGTAAGAAGCCAAGCAGGTCACCCCCATAGAAAAAGGACAGGGAACAAGATAATGCGCGGACGGGAAAATTGCTTTAATAGTACATAGATACATGAATACAATTTAATTCAATGCATTACTATTTATGAACTTTTAAACATTTTATGGAAATTGCCCTTTAAGCTACATTAAATAAAATATGTAAACATATTAATCCGTCGGCTTAAAAACCAAGCATTCTATAGTTTCGTTAATATTTTAACAGTATCGGTGTAAATCTCATTAAAAAATGTTCACAAATTATTATTTTAAAAGGAAAACCCCGCGGTAACACTAAAGTTCGCATGCAAATGAAGACTAGTATAATTAGCTCGTGTATGCAGTAAAATCAATTGTAACATGTGGATCACAGCAAATAGGAGATATTCTTATGCAAACAGACTTTTACCGTTTAAGTTTCACGGTACATTAGCTCTGTCGTTAACAAAAAAGTAATCATCTCATAGAAAGATTGAATTTGTATGAATACATCCGTAATATAATGCGGAAATATACCGTTAAATTTGGACTGCTACAGCTCAAATTCGCTATTCCTTTCAATATCTGTTTACATCAATATTGACAAAAAGGGGTGTCGATAATTCTTATATAAAAGCATACTATTTATCGCCTAAATCTTTAACTACCTAAAAAATTACTCATTTTGAACAGTTCAGAATGTTGGCTTCGTCAGTGTAGAGACCGTGGTTCGATTCTTGGAAAAGGCTTTTTTAAAGTTTTTTTTTCTTTTCTTTTTTTTTTTGTTTTTTTTTTTAGCTATTTTTTCAAAGAACTCTTGAATTTATTTCACACAATTTGTTTAAAAAATGTAGCAAACTGAATTAAGAATTTTAAAAAGAATTAAATTGACAATACTTTTCAATCTGTTTGATGACTGTTAAAATCAAATACATTCAATTTCAAGTTTAACTTTAAATTGTACAAAATATTAAATTAATCACAGGATTATAAAAGAGAATAAGAAAATGTTTTCTGAAAGCAAAAAAAAACATACAGACAAAAAATATGCACAATTCTAGATTTGAACTCGAAAAAAAAACAACATTTACATAACATGAACTCTTCATACACTCTCTTACCACTACGCTACTTGGATTAACGTGTCGATATCCAATTTAATTCTTCTTTATTGCAGTAAAAGTGCAAAATGTAATAACTGAATAACTTGCACAACCCATTATATTATAATGGTTTGACCGATTAATGTAAACGTTATCGTGTTCGACTTATACTAAGAATGTTTGTTGATTTTCTATTGATGTACGGATGACCCAAAGGCGGAGTTTCTCATGCAAATAGAAATTGTACTTCCAATTTCGCCACAATGAAGTTGTAGACTTTATGGCTCATAAAACTCATTTTGGTTGTCTGGACACAAAATAAGAACGGGAGTCGATATGAAACATTTAATAAACGAAATGTAGCTATTTCTTTTTATGAAATTTATCTAATGTAGCTTTAGTTTAAACATATTTTATTTCAAACATTTTCACACAAACAATTATTACATACAATCATAAGTTACATAAACAATGCTGAAAAAGGATTAGATCCGAAAGCATACAATGCTTATAGAGGTCTTTTCCTAACATATAATTCATTACTGTAAATTCGGCGGTAAATTACATGTTCGAAATAGTATATCATGAAACATTTTATTGATGATGAATGAAGAAAGACGAGGACGGCAAAAGTTTCTATTCAGAGCTAAAAGTAAAAAAAAATAAGTAGTTGAAATAAGTTAGATAGGAAATCATGCTATTATACATGTATGTTTTAAAATCAACATGAAATGCTAATACTGTGACCTAGTGAAATGACACACAAAAACATATTTAGATTGATGGTCAGAAAAAGATGAGATTGATTCAGTAAAAATGGTGCAAATACATTATATTAAGGAA